AGGAACTCACCCGAAAGTGAGAATTCTATCGTGTCCTACACGACAGATTACTGGAATCAAATTGTGAGCGGCTTTAGCAATTACCCTAAAGGTGTGCAAGCAGCTTTTCCTTTTTTTGGCTTCCATCATTTATCACGAAAGCTATCTCCGTCGTACGCTTAATGATTCGCACCCAATATTTACAGCATGAGTGTTTTCGGCCAACTCGCTAATTGATAAGCTACGTGGAGCAACAGTTCTTGCGATAGGCGTGTCGCCTGTATGTGGACTGAAGGCGACAGGAATTCCAGTTCACCTTGCTGTAGCGAAGCAGGTAAATGTTTTGTTTTGGAAGTTGAGGTACATTGTTGTCACTTAATGCTAATTAACGACATCCTATGACCTTGTCGATGGGTATCTCAAACTACCCGTCCTGCATGCCCCTCGGCCTAAAGGCCAAAACGGCTCTCCCTGTGTTTCAACTTGTGCCGCCCTCGAGCACCGAGGTGCTCTCTTGAAAATTGAGACCGTGCCAATGCTCAACATCGCTTAGCGCATGCTGAAAAACTTTATCCCAGACGGGGCCAGGGATGGTGGCCTGCGTCTTGTGTTGTTGGAAGCTCCGTTTGGAATCCATCGCCATGATAACGAGTGCATTTGCCGTTCGATTGAAAGTTTGTATATGGTGGGTCCAGGCAGTGACCATGAGTTGTTCTGCGAGCTGCCGGATTTTCCAGTAGCTCGCTCGCAGCTGCTTTGCACGCGGGGTTGTTCGAGAGATGTGTTGCCTGATAATCAGTTTACTGTCCCCTATGACATCTTTCGGGGTCCATCGGCGCTGTGCGCATTCCTTGAGCCCCAGATAGAGCCCCAAGTTCGCAGCTAAATTGGTTGTCATCGTCTTGGCTGCCCAAGAAATACTGCTAATCTAAAGTACCGCATGCCCAATCACATCATCACCCACTTGCACCACCATCGATCCACATCCACCGGGGCTTGGGTTGCCACGGGAGCTTCCACCAAAAAACAGCATGAATTGTGACGTTCCGTGTGGTCGGAAGTTCCTATATTGTTCCGGATGTGCCGAGGACAGATACTTGTAGAAATTCGAAGCCAGCGCGCTGTTTAAGACTGAACCTAGGCCAACTCCTGTCCGGAAAACCACTGTTTGGTAACCATGTCTCAGACGGGTCCTGAGCCCTGCACTCCGGTAGGGTGCAGTGATGTCATTGTGTGCGTCAAAGTGACTGACCCTCCAGCGCCAGACGGCATGGAAGTACAGCGCAACTCCAATTCTCCAACAATTCTCCGCTGCAGTGATGATAGCAGCAGTGAGCCGCTCCCGGAGTCCTGCGCTGAGGAATGGGTAGAGGGTGTCCGCCAATTTTCCCATTCCCGGGGGTACCATGGGTAGTACTAAACTGAAAAAAGCTTGTTCAAGCTTAGTGTCCTCTATAGTGTGGAGATGCCAATCGTCCATAAATTGTTTCCGTAGCATACTGGCAGCGGGACATGTCCAGAATACATGATACACCGTGGTGTCTTTTACTCTAAGGCAACTAAGGTGAGGGCACCGCATCGTTGCCGATGTAGGATCGTACATCGAGAAGACATGTAGTTTCAGCCGTAATAGAAGTCGTTCTCCCCAGGGATTCAGCGCTACGAGTCTACGGATTTGCGAGAAGTCCAGCTCTTCCAGACCGGCAGCAGCAGGAGCGCTGTGGATTTTCCACTTCTAGTGGCGTCGTGCAGTGCTGGAGGTCCCCTTGATTTCTGTGGATTTCAGTAGTGCAGACCTGTAAAAGGTTCTGGACAGTTTGACTCGGCCATCGTTCCTTCGGAAGCAGGTAAATGAGCAACGCGTAGAAGTAACAAGTCTTCACAAAGAAATCGACGATTTAAAGGCAGAACTAGCCGAAAATCTACCAAACCAAGTCGCGGTGAAAGTGGTTAGTTGTCGTGTTGGGAATCCACGATTGTACCCCTCCCGCCACTCAC